TTTGGGGCTCAGGTGGGACAGAGGCTTTAGGACGGAGAGTAGAAACAGTTAGCAGGCACAAACCAGCCTGGAGGCATTCGAGTGGAGGCCAGAGACGGGGAGGAATCCGGGCTGGGTCCCAGGTTTCTGGCTCCGTAGCTGGTTGGTTCCAGACCGTCACCTGTTGGGAGGAGCTGGTGTAGGAAGGAGGGGACAGTGGGTTGTGGAGGTTGCGGTGATGTTGCGCAGTGAGGGAGTTCCTCTCTAGGTTAGTTGGTCGGCCCCAGGTCAGGTCAGAGCTGCAGGTCAGCTTGGGACTCATCAGTTCATTGGCATGAGCTTGTCCAGGGAGGCTGTGAATATGAAGAAGGGCAGAGACTTGCAGACGGAGCATGGGGAACCTCAACATTTAAGAAGCAGATAGGGCTCAGTGGTTGAGCGTTGACCTATGAACCAGGAGGTCATGGTTCAATTCCCAGTCAGGGCACATGCCTGGGATGCAGGCTCCATCCCCAGTGCGTGGCTTACAGGAGGCAGCCCATCAGTGATTCTCATCATCGATGTTTCTATCTCTCCCTTCCTCTCTGAAATCAATAAAAATATATTCCAAAAAGAAAGAAAGAAAAAAAGAGAAGCAGATAGGAAAAGCTGCCTGAAGACAGAAGGAGAAGCAGACATAGGCTGGGCAGGTGGGAGCTGGGAGGTAAAAGGTGAACAGTAGACTTAGGCGGGAGTTGTAGAAAGCTCGAGTGGGCTGGGTGAGAGGACAGCAAGTGCTGGCCCACTGACCGGACCCTTGACCCTCTCAATGACCAGGTGGAAGAGGTGAGAGGGAAAGTGCCCAAGGCGGTTCCTCAGCTCCAGCTGTTTTAGGCGACGTAGTCCCAGAGCTGTAGAGCTTTCAGTTTTTCACATAGGGCTGGAACCTGCATTTTTACGTGAAATCTTTTGAGTTTTTAAAAGCCGATAACTATACCCTGGCCAGGTTGCTCAGTTGGTTGGAACCTCGTCCGATTGTGCCAAAGTTGTGGGTTTTATCCCTGGTCAGGGCACATACAAGAATCAACAATGAATGAATAAATAAGTGGAACAAGTCAATGTTTCTCTCCATCCCTCCCTCTCTTCCTTTCTTCCTTGCCCACTCTCTCACTTTCCTACCCTCCTCTCCCTTCCTCTCAAGTCAATAACTAAAACATTAAATAAATAAATAATAAAAGCTGACAACTACTTTGAAAATGAAGTTCATCTAGTCCAGGCCAGGCAGAATTAATCTGTGGGGAGATGTAGTCTCTGGCTATCAGCCCCCCCCCCCCTTAAAAAATGTTTTTATTGATTTTTAGAGAGAGGGGAAGGGAGAGGGAGAGAGATAGAAACATCAATCATGTGAGAGAAACATCATTAATAGGCTGCCTCCTGCACACCCTCTTCTGGGGATCAAGCCCATAACCCCGGGTATGTGCCCTGACCGGGAATCAAACCAGTGACCTTTTGGTTCCTGGATGGACGCTCAACCACTGAGCCATACCCAGCTGGGCTAAATGGTGTTTGAATGGGAAATGGAGGAGAGAGAGTAGCCAGCGGGAATTTGGATGTAAAGGAGGTCTGAAAAGGAGGTGGGCATCACTGAGCCCCTCTCTACTTGATGCTGCTTTGGGGGAACTCTCCCTCCTGAATTCAAGGTCCCACGTTCAAGCCATTGCAGCGGGGCTTAAAGGTGCTAAAGGTCAGAGCTAGAGCAGAAAGGGAGACACAGAGCACGGGCACCTTTTGTTTTTCTGAATGTCTGGGAAGGAGATAAAGATGATTGCACATGCAAGTAAGTTTGTCAGTAACACCCCGTAACCCACTCCCCCACCCCCCAAAAAAAGTGTTAGGCGCTGATGGGGTGTGAGGAAGGTGGGGGTGTCTGGGAATGGCTGGTAAGAGAAACAGAAGGGAGCCCACCTGGACACTTGGGGACATGCTTTCTCAATTTCAGTGCTGTTGACATTTTGGACCTTATAATTCTGTGTTGTGCAGTCCTGTCCTGTGCATGTAGCTGGTTAGTGGAATCCCTGGCCTCTACCCACTAGATACCAATAGCACACACCCTTTTCCCAGTTGATCAAAAATGTCTCCAGACATTGCCAGATGTCCCTTGGAGGGGAGAGGCAGGATCACCTGATGCCTCCCGACCTCTACCCAGTAGGAGCAGAGAAGGTGAACTAGAGTTAAACCAGAGTTGTGGGAGGCGGGGCTGGGGCACTGAGCGGGAGCAGTGGGAGGATGGGGGTGGGGAGGTTGCAGGGCTAGGGCAGCAGGCTGGATGGAGAAGGAAATCACTTAGGCTGCTGGGGACTGCTGAGCTCGGCTCATTGACAGACCTGCCTCATCGAGCAGGGCAGCTGCGCTTCCAAGAGGCGACGAGGGTCATAGGCATCCAAGGGATCAATACCTGTGAACACTTGGAGTAGTGCTGGGCACATAGCAATGTCAGCTGCTGTTATCATTAGTCTTTCTAGTTGTGAGTGACAGAAAACTAGCTCATATAGGATTCCCAAAACAGGAGAAAGGAAAACCATTACACCTCGAATAGGGAAGGAGTAGTTCCCCAAAGGGTCATCAGGAAGCTGTTACCAGAAGTTTCACGCTTTAAAAATACACACAGCAACTTGTGTCATTCAGGAGTTTCCCCGCGTGGATGATTTTGGTCAGTGTTTCACATGACTGTGTAACTGCTGGATTCCTGTTAACGAAAGCCCCGGATACCCCGATGTATGGGCGTACTGTGGCTTGGCTAACCAGTCCCCAGTAACGGACATCTTAGGTGGTTGCCAGTCTCCTGCTATTGAAAGCAGACCAGGCCCTCTGGGTCTCTGCTGGCCGTGCCGCCTGCAGGCAGTAGCTTAAAGCCGGGTGCTCAGTGAGCCCCTTCCAGCTGGACCTCCTCCCAGGGGGTGTGTCCTGTCTTTTCTCCAGCCCCACTTGTCTGCCTCCCTTTGGGATTAGGAGTGTCTGGGTTACAATCTATTTATGTCTCGGGGCTTCTCCAGGGCTGAGCTCAATCTCTGTCACGGAGCCCGGCACAGGATATCCTTCAGCATGTGCTTGTTGAGTGGCTGCTGGGCCGGAGCAGTCAGTGACCTGCGGATGGGTCCCCCGCAGTGCAGTGCCTGCTGTGGATGGGTCCCCTGCAGTCAGTGACCTGCGGATGGGTCCCCTGCAGTGCAGTGCCTGCTGTGGATGGGTCCCCTGCAGTCAGTGACCTGCGGATGGGTCCCCCGCAGTGCAGTGCCTGCTGCGGATGGGTTGAATCCGATGCTCTTTAGGGCTCCCCCATCGTATAGCACAGGCTGCTCCAGCCGGCCAGAGGGCCAGAGGCATGCCCCCGGCGTTGGGTGCAGCGGGCGGGAGGTGGTATTTCTTCTGGATTAGTCACTCTAGGATGAGTCGTTTCACTCACAATCAGAAGTGAAAGTTTTCTTTCCTCTTTTATTTTAACTTATTTATTTTTTTAATTTTAGAGGGAGAGGAAGGGAGAGGAGGGGAGAGAGAAAAACATCGATGTGAGAGAGAAATACTAATCAGCCAATCCCTGCACGCACCCTGGCCAGGAGACAAACCGGAGGCCCCCACTACACAGGATGATGCTCATCCAACTGAACCACACCACGCCGGGGCTCAACAGTTTTCTTTCTTTTTTTAAAAAATATTTTTATTGATTTCAGAGAGGAGCGGGAGAGAGAGAGAGAAACATCAATGATGAGAGAGAATCCTTGATTGGCTGCCTCCTGCATGCCCCTAACGATCGATCGAGTGTGCAACCCAGGCATGTGCCCTTGACCGGAATCGAATCTGGGACCCTTCAGTCCCTAGGCCTTTCGCTCTATCCACTGAGCAAAACTGGCTAGGACTCAACAGTTTCCTTAGTATCTCTTACCGAGTAGTCTACTTGAAATGCCTACACACCTTGCTTTTATTAAGCTAATCTATGACAGTAGTATTATTTGTCCGCCCAAGTGCCAGTTAAATAAACCACCTTGGTGCCAGGGGTAGCCATTCTCAGTGCCCTGATGGGGCAGTGTTGGTCCTGAGACACAGGAAAGGGGTTCTGTGCAGTTTCTCACTGGCTATGCCCTCTCGGGGATTGGCGTCAGCAAGCCACTCATTAGGGGATTGGCATCAGCAGGTCTGGGCAGTTGCTTTGGCTCAGTTGGACCCAGTTTCTGTGCTGTGGGGGTCATGTTCTTTGGAGCTGCTCTAGGCTTCTGAAGTAGCTCAGGTTATGTGTTGGGAGACGCAGTTATTTCAGAACTGGAATAGCCGTCTCCTGGAGTCAGCAGTCTGTCCAGCCACCTGGCCAAACTGCATAGCAAAAGATGAATCATTCACGTAGTAAATACCTGTGCCAGTGACTGTTTTAGTGCTGGAAGGTGAATGATGTGGACCTTCTTGCCTAGGGAGCTGGTGACTTAGTGGCAAGAAAGGCAAGGAAACGAGTTCTCAGAGATGTCCTGCCTTTATCCAGGAACTGAAGCCTTTACTGTGAAGAACGTGCCAGGAGTCAGGCGGACCTGGGGCAGTTATTGTCTCTCCTCTCATAGCTTTGTGGACGGGCCGGCCTCTTCACTAGTAAAGGGTGTCCCAAAATTCACGCAAGAAGTAATTTTGGTAGAAAACACAGGTTTATGATTAAAAATTGTAAATTTTTTATTGATTCATAAAGTATACAGTATAGGATTACGTATGGAATAGCATCTCGGGTAAATGGCCTCCACGGCTTTGCTGGCACATATGCACTCTTGTTTTATTGTCTGAGCAGCCGCATTTTCGAAGAAGAATGGTCCGACGATGCCTCCAGCCCAAAATCCGCACCAAACAGTGACACGTTGTGGATGCATTTGTTTCTCAACAATCACTCGTGGATTTTCTGAACCCCAAATGCGACAATTTTGTCGATTAACCAAGCCATCAAGATGAAAATGAGCCTCATCAAAATTCAGCCACATTTATGCAAAACGGGCATGGAAAATTTCAACAAAAGAGTGCTTATGTGCCAGCAAAGCCGTGGAGGCCATTTACCCGATATGTTTAACCTGTGTTTTCTATCAAAATTACTTCTTGCGTGAATTTTGGGACACCCTTTAAAATGGTGAGATAATAGGACCAATTTCAACTGTTCTGAGGCCATAAGGGAAGGAAGGCCGGATTGGAAAACACTCAGCATGGTGTCTGGGCCACAGGAAGCTCTTTAAGTGGCAGCTGTGACTAATGCTGCAGTTACTTGGGGTTATAACGAACCTTGAGTGAGATCTCATGATAAAAATAAGAAACACTCACACTTTATAGATCTTCCTGCTGCTTGGCCTTGGGAAAGGGTTTGTGACTTAGCCTCACAGAAGCTGCTCCTTTCTCTGGAAAAGCTGGTGCCTGTCTTGTCCTTTGACCTCCTCTGGGAGGCCAGTGAGGGGCTGGGCCTGCCTGCTGTTCTCACCTGTTGAGTGCCGTTGAGTGCCGAATGCCTTTGAGGTGTCAGCCTTGACCTTGTGGTGAACCGAAACCTCAGGAAGCTTAAATGGTGTAGGGTTTTGTTAGATGCTTCACACCCCCGTAATCAGGTTTTCTGAGAATCACTGTGATGACTGGAAAGGTGAGCTGAGGTGTTTTTCCTGGGGTTGTCGTCTGTGGACCAGAAGATTTAAGCTAAAGTGTGGAAAATTTATTACAAGCAGATTCAGACTCCTCGCAAGGGAGGGGTCCCAATAATGGGCTTCCCCCCTAAAGCCTTGTAGTCCAGGGGTACACTAGTATGTTTGTTAAAAGCCTGCTCTAGTCTGTCTGAGTTGTCACCTGATTGATTCCTCAATTCTTCTAGCCCAGCAACAGACCTGAACTGTCCCTGTGTCTGTGTGTTCCCTCTCTGTCCCTGTGCTGGACTCTCCCTGTTTCGATGTGTTCTCTCTCTGTTCCTATGCTATACTTTGTCTGGTTCGTACACCTTGTTGCTACAGGCCCTCACTCGGTTTCCCATGCCTCCCACTTTGAGTCCAGAAACATTTTATTTATTTCTGCTTGGTTGGTTCCTGTGATTAGGCTGCTCACACTGCCGTGTCCGCCTCTGCCTCTGTTCCACCTGCCTTTGTTTTCCACTGGACCCTGCCCTGTCTGCCTGCGTTTCAACTTAACCCTTTCGACTGCTTTAAATAATTTGTTTCATGAGTAATTTATTTTGTACTTATGGCTAAGGCATTGTGCTAAGCTCTGTGGGGAATATATGGCTTCTGGTTTTAAGAATTTTATTCCCTATGGGTATAATAAGGCAGTTGTACATATTTTTAAGAGGAAAGGCTGAGGCTGTGTATTACCATAATGATAAGATTAGCTATTCTTTATTGATTACTTAATATTTGCTGCTGCACTGATCACTTCAGACACTATCTTATTTTTATTTTTTATTAATCCTCACCTGAGAATATTTTTCCATTGATTTTTATAGAGAGTGGAAGGGAGAGGGAGAAACACACAGAGAGAAACATTGATGTGTGAGAGAGACATTAATTGGTTGCCTCCCACATGAGCCCAAACCAGGGCCAGTGATCGAGCCTGCAACTGAGGTACATGCCCTTGACCTGGTCTGCAGGCCAACACTTTATCCACTGAGCCAAACCAGCTAGGGCTAGATACTATTTTCCTTAAATTCCATGACTATCCCGTGAGAAAGGTACTATTTTTCTAACTTCCCAGAGAGCCTATGTGTATAATAAGGGATGGAGTTACCGGGGCAGTAGAATGTGGACCTTCAGAGAGGAAGAGACAGTTTTTGTTTTCTGTGGTGGGAGAAAAAGATCAAGGGCATCTTTTAAAATTTTTAAATATTTTTTTTATTGATTTCAGAGAGGAAGGGAGAGGAAGGGAGAGGAAGAGAGAGACAGAAACATCCATGATGAGAATCATTGATAGGCTGCCTCCTGCATGCCCCCTGCTAGGAATCGAGCCCGCAACCCAGGCATGTGTCCTTGCCGGGAGTTGAACTGTGACCTGGTTCATAGTCAACACTCAACCATTCAGCCACACCGGCTGGGCTTTCATATAGATCAAGGGCATGTTTATGAAGAAGGGGCATTTGAATTGGGACCAGAAAAGTGGATAGGATTTTGAGAGGTGGAACCTCAGAGCTTTAACGAGGAAAAAGGTGAGGGGTATATGGATATTGGTAATCGATTCCTTCGCTTTCCTTGGTCACCTTTTTCACTTAGAGTGGAAGCCGTGGGTGGGAAGATAGGTGATTACATGTCCTTTGAGTCTCACCGTTGAGCTGGGGAGACACGTGACTTCCACATGACATGAATGTGCCTGCAGTCAGGCAGAGGTAAACTCTAGTCAGCCGCTGAGTCTTGAGTAATCAGGAGGGAGGAGAATTAGTAGGGGCTGGAATAGTAGGGGAGGAGGTTTCAGGGAGGAGATGGAAATTCAGATGGTTTTAGAACATCCGAATACATCAGAAATCTGACCCTGAGAATTAGTCTGTTTGCAGGGTTTGAAAGAGCGTCTCTGTCAGGATCAGTAAGCTATGCATTGGAGAGGCTGGTCGGCCTTGATGGGCCAGACAGTGGGGAGAGGGGGCTGTTGGGAAGCTGGTCTCAGCGACTCCTTTTGTGAGAGAATGTGACCTGGCTCAGTCTGGGGATGGGGACACGTGGGTGGGTATCCTTGGGCTGCAGCACAGGTTTTCTCGAGGGAGGAGAGGAAGAAGCTGCTACCATCAGCACCAGGAAGGATGCATACAAACAGGTGTCCCAGGGAGGTCGGGAATTACCCCTCCCTCAGTGGACTGTGGTCTCATGTTAGGCTACTGATAATGCCCCGCTCCACGTAGCTCCTGCCTCTGGCTCTGCCCTGATGCCTTCACTGCTCAGTGTCCTCAGATTTCACCCAAGTCTGAGTATTCAGGTGGGGAACCCTAGTATGATTGGATCTGGTTCCCTGGGAGTGTGTGTGGTAGCGGAGAGGGACAGCATCATGAGGCGGGAAGGCGAGGAGGTGCCCTCAGGTCAGACTGACAAGCTGCCAACACGTGGAGAAGCTTCTTACATAGGGCGGTCAGGGAGGACTTCCGTAAGCCGAGGCTTAGATTTAAGGGTGTTGCTTTTGAGGAGAGGGTGAGATGACCAAGTGGAGCCACCTAGAGCCTCAGTGTATTCTGTCCTCCTGTCACAAAGCTAAGAAACTTACAAATAGCCTCCAGGTGCTGGCCCCTGCCACCCTCATGGCAAGAGAGTCCTGCTCCCTGCACTGGCAACGGAGCCCCTTTCAGGGCTATAGCTTGACAACTAATGTGCTTGTTCAGTCAGCAAATGTTCACTGAGGCCGTGTCATGTGCCAGCCACTGCTTGTGGTGGGGACAGCACAGGGATGGGCCTGTCTCGGCTGTCGCCTGGAGGTCTGATCCCCTAGAGGTGTGATGCCATAACTCTTGGCCGTCATATTTATTTTAGGGGAAGAGTGTACGTTTCTTTTTATTATGCTTTCTGTAATTTTATTATGCTTTCTGTAATTTTATTATGCTTTCTGTAATTTTATCTTTTATTTACTTGACAGATAAAGCCACAGACCCAAGCATGCCAGAACAGGATTGGTCAGCTATCCAGAACTTCTGTGACCAGGTGAACACTGATCCCAATGGGTAAGGTGACCTTCACGCTGGACCACGGGGGTCCTTGGACTAAGTGCATCTCGTTTGTCTTGGGGCTATTTTAATAGCCTTTCTTTCTTTTTCCCCTGCACAATCTACTGAGAACATCATTTTTTTTTTTTAGAGTTAGCAAATTCATGTGGTTTTTTAAAAACAAACAAATAGTCAGTTTGTAACTGGCAATTATTTTTAAAATAGCATTATGAAGGAGTCATACTCAGGAGACCTGGATGTTACATATGGGAAATGTAACCTTTCTTTAGAAGAGGCAAGAAAAGGGCAAGATTGTGTTGAATTTTTTTCCAAAGCATCTGGACAGGAACTGAAGAATCAGATGTTTATTCTGCATATTGCTGACTATTCAGCATTTGGAAATGGGCTAAAAGTTTGATCGCAATGTCTACCCTAGTGTTTATCAGACAACAGACAGGGTCTATGTTGCTCATGACCTGGCTACCCGTAGGCCTGGTCCTGACTGCTCTGCTCGGAGCTTTGGGGTGCATGAGTTGGGGAGGGTGGTGTGTCTGGACAGCAGTAGTTGTGGGAAGGGAAGGTGGGGTTGGCCTCCTTCAGAGGCTTGTGCATGGTCCATGTGCCAGTCACATTCCACCTCTGTTGTGGGACCAAACTCCTGGAAGGGAGGAGACTTCATGGAGCGCACTTAGCCAGACTGTTCGCCCAGAGCCCAGGTGTCTTTGTTTTCCCTTAGCCCAACCCATGCGCCCTGGCTGCTGGCCCATAAGATCCAGTCTCCACAAGAGAAAGAAGCTCTTTATGCCTTAACGGTAAGCTTGGCCCTTAGCCTCAGTTCTCCTGTCCTGAGCCAGAGGGAGCTGGGCCCCAGCCCCATTTTGGAGTGGTGGGGAGGCTGAGAGGTTCAGCTTCGCTGGCCATGGAGGCTGGGCTCTGGTCGCCCGTCCTACATCTGCTTCTAGAAAGCAGTGCCGAGCTTGCTTTGGGAGAAGGAAAGAAAGGTTTTATTTCCTTAGCTCTTCATAGACCAGGGCTGGTAAGTGCCCACAGGGCCAGACTGGTGACGTAGTGAGTGAGCCACTGGGTGAGGACCAAAATCCTGGAGAGCGCTCACCCAGCCAGGGAGGGATGGCTGCAGTGTGGCACCGGCTGGTATTGCCAGCCATGAGTTTGGGCCCGTTTTTGTTAGAACTTCTTGTTTTTAAGAGAAACCGTAAGTCCAGATTTTTGTATGAATTCTCTGAATTAAAAAATATATATATTTTATTGATTTTTTAGAGAGAGAGGAAGGGAGAGGGATAGAGAGAGAATCACTGATGAGAGAGAAACATCATTAGTCAGCTGCCTCCTGCACACCTGTGGGGATTGAGCCCAGGCATGTGCCCTGACCAGGAATCAAACCAGTGGCCTCTTGGTTCCTGGCTCTATGTTCAACTGCTGAGCTACGCCAGCCAGGCGTGAATTCTCTGAATTTTTTTATGTTGGTGACTAACCTGAAATGTTTAACAGTAGTGTGGACCAAAGAAAATGTGTGTAGGCCCCACTTGGATGCCAGCAGGGGATGTGTGGCTCAGCAATTCATGGGCCTTACATACTGGATGTGGCCTCTGAGCTGGAGGGAGTCACCTGCCCAAAGGATCTCCTTAAAGGTGGGGTGACTTCAGAGTACACACACCACTGAGCTGTTTTCTGGGCACAAACATGTTAGATATAGCAAGATCAAATACAGTGGGGCCTTGACTTACGAGTTTAATTCGTTCTGAGACCGAGCTCGTTAACTCTAATTACTCTGTCAACTCAATGCAAAAAATCGGCCGAGAGACAGCTGGTATCTCAAAAAACTCGTTAGTTGGGACACTCGTAAGTCAAGGCCCCACTGTTGGTGCTTTTTAAAAAAAATCTGAAAATGTTACCCTTTTCCCCAAACTTCAGTGTCCTCATAGTCCCGAGTAAAAACTAGCTCTGGTTCCAGCAAGTGCTCATCAGATTTCAGGCAAGCCTGGAGCCAGAGGTTTTCCATTCTCGTGGGAGTCCCGTGTCTGTGCAGGTGCTGGAGACGTGTGTGAACCACTGTGGAGAGAAGTTCCACAACGAGGTGGCCAAGTTCCGCTTCCTGAATGAGCTGATCAAAGTGCTGTCCCCGAAGGTGAGTGCCGTGGTCTTGGCCCTGCTTACTGTACTGCACCTGGCCCAGCCTTCAGACTCTTGCCCCCTCCTGTGTACGGCCTGTCTCAGGTTTGTGAAGGAGCTGAGAGAGGAGGCCCTAGATGGCAAAGCTCTCTTCTCCAAGGACTAGGATGACTTTGCTGATCCCTGCCCTCCATTGTTAGCATCTTTAAATTATTCTCCCTTTAAAAATGGCCTTTTGGCCCAGCCTGAGGGGCTCAGTTGGTTGAGTGTTATCATGTGCACTGAAAGGTTGCCAGTCTGATTCTTGGTCGGGACACATACTTAGGTTGCAGGTTTGGTCTAGGTTGGGGAAGGCAACCAATTAATGTTTCTCTCTCTTCCTCTTCCTTCTTCTCTTTCTAAAATCAATAAAAATCCTATGTAATAAAAGGCTAATGTGCAAATCAACCGAACAGTGGAACGACTGGTCACTATGATGCGCACTGACCACCAGGGGGCAGACACTCAACGCAGGGACTGCCCCCCTGGTGGACAGTTCACTCCCACACGGGGAGCACCACTCAGCCAGAAGCCGGGCTTATGGCTGGCGAGCGCAGCTGCCGTGGTGGGAGCCTCTTGCGCCTCTGCGGCAGCGCTAACAATGTCTGACTACCAGCTTAGGCCCGCTCCCCATGGGCTCCCAGACTGCACCACCCCCCAAGTGCGTAAATTTCATGCACTGGGCCTCTAGAGAGAGAGAAAGAGAGTGTGTGTGTGTGCACGGGTGTGTGTGCGCATGCGTGTGTGTGTGTGTGTGTGTGTGTGTGTGTGTGTGTGTGTGTGTGTATTGCCCAATGGCCTTGTGGATGGGTGGCCTAGATGGGGAGCACAGGTTTCCTGGTAGACAGCAAGAGATGCTAGATGTGGCTTTAAGTTTCATAGCACTTCTTGCCTTGTCCTCTGCACCTTTCCCCCGGCACCTGTCTCAGCTCTGCGTTCTCAGGTAACTGACACAGATGGAGCCTTTCTTTGCTGCTTTCCAGCAACACTTCTCTGATACCAACTGTGTGTCCTACAGTTTAATTCAGTTCAGTTCTGACACTACCCAGAGTTAGTGCAGAGCCTACGTGATCAGGACTTCATGATACTTAGATGATGCCTAATTTAGACACCAGCCATGAGTCTGTTCTTCTGCCTGACCAACTACAGAGTTGGACTTTCCAGACCACCTCCACAGGGTTCCATATTCACTACAGGAAAGCACTGTACTTACTGTGGTTATAAAGGAGACAGATGGAGGGGATACATGGCCAGGGTCTTGGGGGGAGAGGAGCAAGAGCTTGTGTGCCTTTCCTTATGGCGCCCAGCCCACCACCCTTCAGCACATCGATGTGTTCAGTCAGGGAGCTTGGTGGGCCTTGTTTCAGCTTTACCCAGAGTTCTCGTATGAAGGCACAATGGATTAAATTATTGGCTGGGTGATTGGACTCACTCTCCAGCCCCTCTCCCCTGTTGGGGTCAAATGAGGCTGAAAGTTCCAACCCTCTGATCACATGGATGGCTTGTGGCATAGTCAGCCCCTCCCTTGAAATGAATTCCCACCCTGAGGTTAGCTTAAACTCAGGTCTGGTCCAAGGGGGCTCGTTGTGAGTAACAAAGATTCCTATCACTCAAAAACTTCCAAGGGTTTTTGAAACTGTGCCAGAACTGGAGACAAAGACCAAACATATTATTCCTCACCTGCCCCAGTCAAACAATGAGTGTCTCCAGTGGCTCTAACCTAGGCCAATATATGGTGGGTTTTAATTTTAGCTCCTTGTCCCAGGTGATTTGACTTCTGGCTGAGCTTCAGCTCTCAACCTGGGGCAGTTCTCCGCTCCGGGGTCAGCAGCATCTCCGCCAGCTATGTAATTATTCCTGGTTGCTTTCAGTACCTAGGGTCCTGGACCACAGAAAAGGTTAAAGGAAGAGTCATCGAAATCCTCTTCAGCTGGACAGTCTGGTTTCCAGAAGACATTAAGATCCGAGATGCTTATCAGATGCTGAAGAAACAAGGTCTGATTTCCATTATTTGCGCTGTGTTCCCTTTTTCACAGCACTTGTTCCTTTTTGCTGTTTTGAGTGCTTTGTGCTTTGTGCGTGAAAACTGTACAGTGGAAACTGAGACCAGTAATTTTCACTGTCTAGCAGTGGGCAAACCTCTCCTGCTGGTGGCAGGAGCTAGCTGGTTTGAGATTGTTGTTGCTGGGGTTGTCCTCACTGTAGCAGACTTCAGCTTCCTCCAGGGTTAGCTTGTGGTGAGGGTATGGGCTGGTTTGCTAGAGCTTTTCTCAGTGTCTGCTGCTCTTAGCTGAGGTCGTCCTCAGTGCCTCAGAGACGGTCTTGCGCCCTTGCCTTTCCTGGCAGGAGGTAGACCACTGTTGCTTGTTAGTGTCGTCATCTCTGCTCTACTAGGCCTCAGTCTGAGACGGGCAGTGTGTCCCTGGTGTCAGAGATAGAAACCCAGACACTGACACCAGGGAGGAGGACAGCCTGTTCCCCCCGAGCTTCTGTATTCTCTGTGAGTTTGTATGCTGTGTCCTGTGTGGCACTGGGAATCCATGCTTCTTTCCCCTGGGCTCTGTAGAGGAAGGACCTGGGTTTGGGATGGACTGTTTTCCCATCACATGCACTCAGTGACTTTAGGAGTGTCAGGGATCCTGCTGTAGCTTTTGGGCCCTGGGAGGTGTGTAGCTGAATAAAATGATCAGTATTTTTATAGCATAGGCTCTGGCTCTGCTCTGACTTGGTCGGCCCTCATGTCTTGGTGCTGGTTCCTTTGGTCCTCTGGAGGGAGGACGCAGATTGTACCCTGGATGTATTTTATGTATCTTTGAAGGCCGTTGACAGTGTTGCCTGTCTGGGCATCAGGAACTGGGGTTTATACGGGATCCTGATGAAGTCAGTGGGTACCCGTATGAGTATCTTCACTTAATGAATTGCATGTTTCAGGAATCATAAAGCAAGATCCTAAACTACCAGTGGATAAAATCTTACCCCCACCTTCTCCCTGGCCCAGGAGCTCCATCTTCGATGCTGATGAAGAAAAGTCAAAGGTAAGGAGCTCTTCTCTGACCTTGGTGGCCTACCTGGAATCTGATCAGACCCCTTCTTGTAGGGGCTCCCTTCAAATGTCCCCTGAAATGCCTTCTGAGCCCTGAACCAAAGTGTGGGAGAACATGGCAAGGTTCTGCTCTGACTTGGTCGGCCCTGATGTGAGTTCTCTCTGGAGCAGGTTTTTACAAGTGAGGTAGCATGAGGGTTGGGTGTTTTCTGTGGTGCAGTGGTCAGTCATATGGAAATAACCCGTCGTATGTTGGCTTAGGTCTTTTTAGTGCCAGTAAGCCTGGCATCTTCCTCCCCTGCCCCACCCCCCCTTTTTTTAAACTTGTGGACATTTTAATGAACTTCCTTCCATGTAGCTTCAAGCCACCAGGACACAGGCCCCACCAACACCCTCCATCTTCTCCTCAGCTCTTCTGCTGAAGAACTGGGCCGTCACGGTGACAGGCTGCTTTGGAGCTTTCCCTGCCCCAGAACTTTGTAGTAGCCGATCGCACCACACCAGTGACGGAGCAGCTGCAGTCTTGCTCTTGACAGCATTTCCCCGTGTCTGCTCACTGACCAGGGCCCACAGTTTATCGAGGCGGACAGTTGGGCAGAAGCTCTGGTTCCCCTTTAAGTGGTAATGTCTCATACCCACTTTCCCAAAGTAGCCTGGGTGATATTTGTCGAAGTTGATCCTGTGATGATGCAGGCTGCCAGCATTACCGTGGCCCCCTGGGTGCTTCCTGTGCTTGCCGATGCGGCCGTGGCCGTGGCTCATGTGGCCCCGAAGTTTCCGGGTCTTCAGTCTGGATGACGTGTCGGTGGCCAAGACGCAAAAGACCTACCCATTTTCCTTCTACTGCCTCCAAGAATCTTCAGACATCAGTAAGGGGAAGGAGGTGGTCAAAACCCAGGCCAAGACCCTGGGTTACCCTAGAGCAGTGGTTCCCAATGGCGGCACATGCCGCACAGGGGAGCGATTTGATTTTTAAGGGGGGCAATTCGAGAATGAGTTATTAACAGTGAAATTGTGCACTTCTTATGGTTCTAGGGGCCTCATATACAGTATATAAATACATATTTATGCATATTTATATTATATGTTTTGAAACTTTATTTGCTATTTCGGAATCGAACCTGGGACCTTTCAGTCCGCAGGCCGACGCTCCATCCACTGAGCCAAATCGGTTTCGGCAGGAGTGCACTTTTTGAATAATGAGAATTATATACCACGGGGGAGTATCAGGATTTAAGAGATGCTTAGGTGGGGCGTGGCCAAAAGAAGGTTGGGAACCACTGCCCAGCGCATCAGTGGTGTTGGTGCTTTGGGTCGTTCCTGGTCTTGGTCCTTCACAGGTCCGGTAAGTGCAGTACCAGGAGAGAGCCAGGCTATATGTGTGTCTCTCTGGTACCCATGGCCTTCCAGCTGTGCCTTCCTCCCCTGGACCAGATCCTCAGGGGCATGGCATCCTGGAGGCAGACGAGCAGGGCTGTTCTGTGCTCCCTGGCTCCTCTCTGCTGGTGTCTAACATTGCAGAGCGGGGAAGGAGCAAGGGAGGAGTTAGGGCTTGGATTTCTGAGAAAGAAACCCGAGAGAGCTGCTTACACTCTCTGGGCTCAGTAGCCTCATCTTTTCTGTCCTCCATCCACCAGAGATTGAGTGACTCCTATGTGCCAGGTGTTCTGCTGGGCATTGGGAATAAAGCGAACAAGATCGCCAAGGGCTGCCGCATCGTAGAGTCCATGGTCCAGGACAACTCGACACTGTTGACCTCTGGGCCAGCTAGTTTTCATGTTGGGGCTGCCTGTGTACTGTAGGATGTTTACAGCATCCCTGGCCTCCCCCACTAGATCCAGTAGCATCCCCAATTGTGACAACCAGCGTGTCTCCCGACTTTGCCAAGTGTCTTCTGGGGGCTATCATCCTCCACCCTACCGCACTGAAAGCAGTGGTCTGTGGAGATAGAGGTAGTACTTACATGGCTGCATGATCGCACAGATTTGCTCAGATAATGCATGTGAAATGTAAAGCTCCTATCAGTGTTAGCTCTTCTATTGCTGATGCCACACACTGGCCATTTGACACCACGGGGAATAGTTCAGCCTACTCTTCTTGTTCACCTGCAGCTCCTGACAAGGCTTCTGAAGAGCAGCCACCCTGAGGATCTGCAGGCTGCGAATCGGCTGATCAAGAGTTTGGTCAAGGAGGTAGGCGTTTTCCCACCGCATTCTGCAGAACCAGCCTTGGACAGGGCTGCACAGTGTGTGTGTGCATAGCTCTCTGGGGCAGGGATTACCCTACTCTGAGCTGGGGACCAGCCGTGGGCTCCCTGAGATCGCAGGTGGTGACTGGAAGCAGGGGTCATGCTATATGCTTTCTAATTACTTCCATCCAGGAGCGCCAAGTGTTTCACAGACACCAGTTTTGTCCCAGTGGCAGGTATTGTGTGGACAGATCCAGTTTGGGAATCTGTTTTTCAGAGAGTTAAGGCTGGTGGTACAAAGTAGTGGCTCGCCAGGCCCCCGCTGCATTGTCTTCCCCAGGAATCCTGGGCTTGGAGGCCTTTCCTCACCGCCGAGCAAGCACTCCCTCCATCCGTTTCATGACTTGCCTGAGCTCTCCCCCATTCACTGCCCCTTCCCACCCCTGTTCAGGCTTTATCCAGGCCTTCTTCTTCCTCACTGCCATCCTCTTTCCCACAGGAGCAGGAGAAGTCAGAGAAGGTGTCCAAGAGAGTCAGTGCCGTGGAGGAAGTGCGGAGCCACGTGAAGGTGCTGCAGGAAATGCTGAGCAGGTATCGCAGGCCGGGACAGGCTCCGCCAGACCAGGAGGCCCTGCAGGTACTCTTCCCTAATCACAAAGAAATAAAGAAAGGGAACAGTTCAGGAGTAGCTAAATGTAACTGACATACTAGAAATTGCACCTCTTTACAGCGTATTTGCCGCATGTTGATGTGTCCATCTGTGCAGCCATCGTTAAGATCAGGAATTCTTTTTTATTTTATTCTCACCAGAGGATATGTTTTTATTGATTTTTTTAGAGAGAGAGAAACATCTGTCGATTGCCTCCTGCACGCACCCTTATCAGGGATCAAACCCACAACCTAGGCATGTGCCCTGACTGGGAATCGAACCCTCAACCGTTTGATACATAGGACAACACTCCAATTACTTGAGTCACCCAGCTAGGGCACAATGAAGAATTCTTTATAGATTCTGGATATACTCTGTGGGTTGTCTTTTAACTGTCTTGACTGTCGTTTGAAGCAAAAAGTCTTTACTTTTTTTTAAAGATTGAAAAAAATTGCTTTTTAGAGAGAGAGGAAGGGAAAGGGATGAAAGAGAAACTTTGATCAATATGAGAGTGAAACATTGATCGACTGCCTCCTGCACGCCTCCTATCAGGGATGGAGCCAGCAACCCAGACATGTGCCCTGACCGGGAATCGAACTGTCAGCAACCTTTCAGTGCACAGGACAACACCCAACCAACTGAGCCACACTGGCAAGGGCAAAAGCTTTTAATTTGGAAGTTCAGTTTGTCTCTGTTTTTCTTTTGTTGATGATGCTCTGGTGTCATACCTAAGACACACCACCACTTGGTGTAGCCAGGCAGGGGATGGTGGGAATGTCTGAGTCAGCCATTCTTAGTCTCTCCGGAGCACTGCTTTCTGCTTCCCTCACAGGCTACCTCCATCACTTTCTGCATTCTGGCTTTTTATACTTCTCTGCATAGGGCAGACCCTTCACATAGTCTACCCGCCCTTCCATTTCACAAAGCTAGCAGAAACAAACTAGTCTTTCCCAACACCAAATTCCTGAGAGAAAAATCTACTTGGCCAGTGTGGCTCATGTGTCTGCCTGGGTCAGTCAGCTGTGACTGGGATTGGGCAGAGTTATAGAGAAAAACGTGCTGGTCTTACGCTGTGGCGGGAGGGGACTGGACTCAGAAGGGTTGGGGGCTTGAGCCAGGCAGACACTCCAAAGCCGATCTCCCATGGTGAGGTTGTGTGACTGGGGCTGGCCCTGTCCCTTTCACGTGTCAGGCGACCTCCAGGTTCTTGACTTGTGTAGGAAAAAATTCAAGACACGAGTTCAGGTGAAGCAAAAGTTTATTAAAGATCAGGACAGTGAGGCAAAGGAAGGGCCCTTAGAGACAGGTTCAGGGTTAGCCTGGGATGAGCTGCTGCTGCCCACTGCTTCCTGGTTGCAAGTCTTGTGGGGACCCTTAGAGCTTAGGATAAAGAAAGCAGAAGCACACGCCTAAGGAAAGAGGTGCCTGAGGAAGGAGGTGTGGGGGCGCTCAAACAAGAGCGCGAGCTGGTGTTCTTTGTCTGGAGGTTGTGTCTGTTTTCTACAGGTGGGAGTTACAGAGGAGGGTCCAGGGGAGGGCCAACAGAATGGTCATTGGATTTCCAGGTGTGACAGTTAGTATGCTGATGTATTAAAATGAGCGTATCATGGAGTCTGGGGCCACTTTCCTGGTCCATTTTTCCTCCATCTTGCATTAGTCTGGTTCTAACTGGATCCCTGACTGTGGTGATTTAAACCACCTGCTCTTAGGTCTCTTTGCGTGGGAGGACAGGGTTTTGTCATTTATCCGCTGGCTGTTAATTGTGCAGTCCCGCTGCCAGTTTGTTCAGCCATTTGTCTCAGTTTCCTCATCGCACGTGCCAGGGAATTTTCCTAGTTTTTACTAACCTGCCTCGGCTGTACCAGAATCCCTCAGGAGGGTTGGCATGTTGGGCTTTTAAGTAGAACAGTTTTGCCCTGGCTGGTGTTGCTCGGTGGCATGTCCATCATCCCATGTACCAAAAGGTCAGAGATTTTATTCCCCCATCAGGCACATGCCTGGGTTTTGGGTTCGATCCCCAGTTGGGGTGTGCAGGTAGCAGACAAATTGATGTTTCTCTATTTCTCCCTCTTCCTTCCCCTCTTGCTCTCAAATCAATAAATACATACTTTCAAAAAATGCTTTAAAAAATAGCGCAATTTCCCCCCAGCCAAGATAATAACCAGCTACGAGGTAGGAGAAACGCAGCTGGGAACAAAAGTTCATCTTGATAATGGATAAAGCTGATGTTGGAAAATGTAGCAAGTAAGTACCGGCCAGTGGCTTGCTGATACTGAGCCCTAGAACCGGGCAGGTTTACCTGCCACCTGAGATGTTGCTGGTACACCGCTGTGCTTCCCACCGGGGTTCCTTCTTTAACACTTAGAGCAGGTAGGAGTGTTATGCCCAGATTTCAAGATCACCCAAAGATCCACCAGGGAGCACCAAATCTGATGCAAAAGCATAGAGTCTTTTATTCAAGCCCGGC